AAACTAAAAACTAAAAAAATAAAATTGCCAGGGGCTGGCATTGTGATGTAATGGGTTAAGTCACTGCCTGCAATGTCGGCATCCCATATGGTATGGTTCTGGCTGTTACACTTCCAATTGAGCTCACTGCCAATGTGCCTGGAAAAGCAGCAGATATGGTCCAATTACTTGGGCCCTGTACCCAGGTGGGAGACCCAGATAAAGCTCCTGGCTCCTGGCTTTGGCCTGACCCAGCTCTTACTGTTGCAGCCATTTAGGGAGTGAACCAGCAGATGGAAGATCTCTCTGTCACTCTGACTTTCAGATAAATAAATAAATCTTTAAAAAATAAAACAAAATTGCCTGCAAAATTGCTTGTGTCTAGGAGGGTGGGCATTTTTCTTGAGCGATGGTTGGTGCTTTCAGTAGGAGCATAAAGTCAGTGAGGGTGGGGGGTGGTTAGGACTCCTTCCCAGCCTCTGCAGGTGCCTCTGTCAGGCCCTCCTCTCTTCACAACCTTGTCTGTCTCCAGCAACTGCTTCCCCCACCTTGCCCCTTTTCACACCTGGGTGGCAACCAGCATCCTGTTCCTGGCCCCAGGCTCTATGCTCTCTTACATGGTTTCTCCTACACCCTGCCCACACCTTTGAAACAGTCCCTTCATTAAACTCCCCTCAAATTACCCAATTTAAATGTGCCATCTGCTTCCTGCTGGGACCCTGACAGATACAGTATTATTAATCTGTCATTGCACCATCAATGTCTGCACATTCACACACATGTATGCACATACACACTCACACATTCACGCACTACGAACACGCCCACTCTCACAGGCTCACATGTGCACGCACGCACGCACACACACACACACACACAGTCGCATAGGACGTTGCCTTCTGTCCTGGCACTTTGGGGAGTGCTATGCTCCCGTCACAATCCTGCTCTGGTGAATTGAGGTCTCCTTGTCTAACCTGCAGGCTCTGCCTCTTGCCACTGGGGTGCCTTTCACCTGCCCACTGCTGAATGGGTAACTGGCGCAGGTTCCTGGCTTTGGAAGCATTTTGTCCACTGCAACGCAGATGACCCCAGCCCTTTACGTTCTGTATGCGAAAGGGGCTTCATCAAAACGCTATCTGAAGGCGCTGCACAGAACTGTTAGCCATGGAAGTTAGACCCAGGAATAAACACAAAAATCTAGGAGACCACATAAATGATGACTGTTTTACATGGAGAGGACTGAGTACGTTGGCAAGAGTTGAAGGGGACACATTTTGGCCCATTTTGAGGCTGCCTTTCCAATAACTGGAGCTGTTCTATGACTGACAGGGCCACCTTGTGAAGCAGACCCTTGGCTGAGGCTGTGTCACAGAGAGGCTTGTGATGACTTGGGATCTAATACCTCTAAGGGTGCCCTAATGTGCGATGATGACCTTGGGCAAGGCACCTCTCCTTTGCGGCCTCTGCTTCCACATCTCTGAAATGCCCCCTTAGTCTGCGTGTCTTCCACAGCCATAAACGCACAGAATTTCTGATTTTGTAGGCACAGAGCTGCAGAAAGTTGGGGAGGGGGTGGCGTTTGGAAAGGAGCTGCAGAAGTAATTAGCGATGGAAATGCAAATCTCTAGCTGCCTCTGGGATGTCTGCGTTTGCAGATTAAAACAAGGCCGAATCTTGGATGAATAATTCCATTCCCTCCAGAGTCAGCTGCAACAGTAGGACATGGAAAACCCTGTTCTCTGTTGCAGGGGGAGACTGAGGGCCAGGTTATGAGTTGTGCCCCCAGCATCTGCCAGTCTTAGAGCCTCCTTGCAACTCAGTCTTTGTTTTTCTGCAGGGATGAAAATACCAACCCCAGAGGCACGCTTCTCTGAGGAATGATAAGTGCAAAGCGCATATCTGGGCCTTTCTGGTTGGGGTGAGATCATCCAAGAAAATATTTGCATCCAGGGCTCCCACACCGACCTACTCTGGGATCCTGGAGATGGCATTGAGCTCTGCGAGCCTCCATTTTCTAATCTGTAAAGTGGGGGGCCTGTAGCATTTCCCTCGTCGGGTGGGTGAGGCACACTTTGCAGACAGACAGGGTAACTGGAATTGTTCCTACCGAGTAGCCTGCGAGGTTCTAGGGAGCAGCCTACAATTCCTGCATCAAAGAAGCCACGCCTGTCTTAACGATTCTTTCTCTTACTCACTCAGAAGCCAGCCTTTCAGCCTCTCAGCATCTTGTGGCTTAGCCTTGGTGTCGACGTGGTGCCAGCAGCCAGAAGGGAGTGTGAGGGCCATGGGTGGACACCCAGGTGGAGGGTTCCGGGGAGCTCAGGCAGGGCCCTCTGCTTGCCATGGCTGTCAGATATTCCCCACGTCAGCCTCTGGAAACTGTTTTAACCACAAGGGTCAAACCAAACAGCCTTGCCTCTTCCCATTTTGGCCCGGAGGGTTTTGGTGAGAGTTGAGTCAGTTACTTGGGGCTGGTGGTGGTGGTGGGGGCACGCTTCTGAGACGGCTTCCTTTAGGACCCTGGGGATGATGCTGGCAAGACCCTTGGAGACCCTGTCCCCAGCACAATCCAAGCAGCACCAGGCAGGCCTATCTCCCCATCCTGCTGTGCCTTTGTGGTGGGGGGTGGGAGGCAGGGGGTGGCCCCTGCACAATAAATTGGAGATAAAGAACTCCAAACCAATTCTTCTGTAAATAAAAAGATGCTCTAAAATGTATGACACCAGCTGTCGGGGTCTTCATAATAGTTACATTCCTCAATAAGCTTTCCTGCCAAGTGAGTTATTTGGAGGATTGAAGAATTCCCTGTGGCCAGGGGGAAGTTATGAAGATGAAAACTTGCATTTTAGATCACGAGAATTTTATTAATTTGTTACTATTTTAAGCTTCCATACAAAAATCCTTTGTATTGATTTCAGTGTGATGTACTGACTGAATAAATATGCCAATTTCTTCCAGTGAGCCAAACAGTATTTTTAACCTACTTTAAAATATGTGTTGTTTCCTACGGTTTTTTAAAGTTTGGAGTTGATTATGAAAGCATTTTCAATTTTTAAAAAATTCTTCTTTCCAGAGAATATACATATATTTTAAGGTATTAAATATAAAGCTTAATGGGGTGGATGAGTGTTTTCTAAGTTGCAAATTAAGGTCAAGAAAAAGAGATGAAATGATTTTTTTGTCTTATGCATGCCATTGTATTGGGAAATACTACAACAAAGGAGATTTGAATAAAATTTTCTGCATATATAATTGAAACAGATTCCTACAAGTAGCTTTTTTTTCCCATCACTGCCTATTTAGTCTAATTAGTCTATTCAGTGTATACACTGTGTACTTAATCATGGCCCTGCCACAAATGTTGGAATCTTCATACATTAAGGGAAAAACAAGAGGGTGTCAGAGGTTTCCAGGCACTGGCTAATGGGGTCCTCAACCCAACAATAGGAGAGGCAGCCATCTGGAACAGCCCTTAAGACACAGCTTGCGGGGGTGGGGTGGGGTGGGGTGGGTGGGGGGGTGCATCTTGTCCTGGAGGGCCTGGGTTTAAGTCCTGGCTCTGCTTCCCATTCCTGGTTCCTGTTTGTGTGCACCCTGAGAGGCAGTAAGAAATGGCTCAAGTAGTTGGGTCCCTGTCACCCACGTGGGAGACCCAGGTGGTGTTGCTGGCTTCTGCCCAGCCCCATGTACTGTGGACATTTTGGGAGTGAGCCAGGAAATGGATGATCTCTGTTTCTTTCTCTCCCCATCCTTCTGACTTTCCAGTAAATAAAAGACAAAATAAAATAAAGGCATGGTGACTTACTGGAAAAAAAAAAAAAAAAGAGAGAGAGAGAGATGCTAAGGGTGTCATCACCATTTCACAGGTGGGGAAATCAGGTCGGGAGGGGGTCAAGCACTTGTTCCAAATGCTTTATCCTGGTGCGTCTCTCAATCACTTTCTTCAAAATGGAAAATTCACCCAAAGATCCCTGAGTCTCAAGTCATGAGATTTAAAGGCGGGTTTGAGTCCTTGTTGGGAAAGCCACTGTGATCACCATAGTTGTTATTTGTGACTCACATGACATTTCCTCTTTAGCCAGAAACACAAAACTCTTCTGAAATGTAAAGGCCTTTACTTTGTGGGGTGAGAGATCTTAGAAGATCCAGGTGCAGGACAGGGACTAGGGGCTCTCTGGGGGTCACCTAAGCACATTACAGCATCGGGGCCAGAGCTGAGGACAGGAAAGGGGTCACAGCACCCCGACATTTCAGGAGACCTTGATCACCTGTTCTGACCTCCCATCTGGAGTGGCAGTGCCCCTTCCAGCGATGGAGTGACTACCCACGGTGCAGCCCACCCCATCACCCAGCGATGCAGCCACTACCCTTGGTACAGCCCATGTATCACCCAGCAATGGAGCCACTACTCACAGTGGAGCCCACCCATCACCCAGTGACGGAGCCACTACCCACGGTGCAGCACCCCCATCACCCAGCAACAGAACCACTACCCACAGTGCAGCCCACCCATCACCCAGTGATGCAGCCACTACCCATGGTGCAGCCCATCTGTCGCCAGGTGACTGACTGTACAAAGCCCTTCCTGGAGCTAGTGTTGTGGCTAAGTCACTGCTCACAATGCCCACTTCCCACATGGATGCTGGTTCAAGTCCCAGCCGCTCCACTTCCGATCCAGCTCTCTGCTAATGTCCCTGGGAAAGCGGTGGAAGATGGCCCTTGCACTGACGTGGGAAACCTGGATGGAGTTCTGGGCTCTTGGCTTCTGCCTAGCCCAGCCCCAGCCATTGTAGCCATTTGGGGAGTGAACCAGCACATAGAAGATCTCTCTTTCGTCTCTGCCTCTGTCTGTAACTCTGCCTTTCAAATGAAGCAAGCCCTTCCTGGTTTTGAGCTGAAACCCTGGGGTCGAGGAGGGTGTGTGTGTGTGGGTGGGGGTGTCCTTCTTTCCCTGCTGCTTGAGACAAAGTTCACAGCAGCCTGTGCCTCTCCTCCTGACATCCCAGGAGGCCGGGGATTACCTGAAGTTGTAGCCTGGGGAGACGCTGCTCTTCTCAGAAACGCCATCCAGCCGGGTGAAGGAGTATTTGGGGATGCACTGGTCCCAGGCCTTGTCCAAGTCACACACCCAGCCGATCTTGATGCCCAGAACGCCGCCCTGAAGGGAAGGGCAGGGTGTCAGCTCTCCCACAGCCCTCAGACCCCCCTGATACAGTCAGGCAGCAGGGGTTGACTGCTGGGATTTGAATAGGTCCCCCGGAAAGTTCAGGTGTTGGAACCCTAGTCCTCAAACTCCCGTGTTCAGGATGTTGGAGAGTGGACTGTGGGGGTGATTGTGAATGGATGAGGTCACGAGGGTGGGGCCCATGATGGCGGCAGTGGTTCTGGCAGAAGAGAGAGAGCCCAGCTAGCACACTCGCTCTGCCCTGACTCCCCAGCCTCCAGCCCCATGCGCTAAGTAACTCCCTGCTCTTCGTACTGCTCTCAGGCGTTTTGTTAGAGCGACAGAAGACCGACTGAGAGGGTGAAAAGTGATTTGCGCTCAGGAAAGAAGTGCTGTGGCCAGGGTGAGAAGCCCAGAGTCTCCAAATCCTACTTTTGAACTTCTCGATCCATTAGCTACAGCACAGGAGGAGAGAGAAACCGACTACCGGTCCACTGTCCTGGGGTGGGACCCCCTTCCTGAGACCTAAGGTCTTTCCTGGTGGTGCAGCGTGAAGGCAGGAATGGGAAATTGAGGGTCAGGGACAGCTTTAGGGGGCGGATCCGCAAGACCACATAACTCAGGGCAAGAGCAGACCGAAAAAGGATTGACCCAAAGCCAGTGGCAGGCCTGGGGTGCTTCCACCAGGTGGCGCTGTCTCACTGTGGCTTCTTCTTCCTGGTATCCCAGCTGCCTGCAGTGGGGTGGGGCGGCCTGGAGTCTTAGTCAAAGATTGAACTTCCTCAGTTCAGGGTCATGGAAGAAGGGCTACATCCTTACCGTGCTGGCCAGTTTGGCAAAATCCTGCCCCGCAAACTTGACCACATCCCCCACCCGTAGGATGGGGCAGAAGGGGGCCTTGTCTGGGTGGAAGCGGCACGTCTTCATGTCCCTGGCTGTCAGGTTGGGAAGCAGGTTCCCCCTGGGGGGAGAACAGAAGAGAGAAGCAGGCCCAGGGTGACGGGAGACACACACGTTCTCCAGCTGCTGGAGCCTGGGGGCTCTCCTCACCCAGGGAGGGGGGTCTGAGGCCCGAGTCGTGGACGCTCACCACTCCCCGTCCCCCCTTCTCCTGCATCTTTCCTGGGCACCTCCCACCCTCCATCCCATATTAGAGTCACATGTATCCATGTCTGACCTCCCCCCCAGGCTGCCAGGCAAGGGGCTCGTGGAGGGCAGGAGCCACCCCCTCATTGTCCTCTGCCCCTCTGTGGTGCCCGGCATTGTGCTTTGCTTCTGGTCAGGGCCCAGCCGAGCAGTTTGAGCTGAACTAAGCAGGGGACCTGGCGGCACCTGTGTTCCAGGGCCAGGTTTACACTGTTCCCCTGCCCCCATCCTGAGAGCCTCCTGGGTTCTGAGCCCTTAGGGAGGACATCATGGCTATCTGGGAGGCTGGGAGCCCCCGGGGAGGGAGGAAGATGGAGAGATTGTACAAGGGGGAACCTCTCTCCTAAAATCAAGTACAGGGTTGCGAGGAGGGGTGCTCGGCACCCAGGCTTCGGGCCGGAAGGGAGGACTCACTTCTCAAAGTTGAAGAGAGGGAAGCGGATGCTGTTCTTGATGAAAATGGTGAAGTTCTCAGCTTCCATCATGATGGGCCTGCGGGCACGACCAGGAGGCCTTAGCTTCTCGGGAGGAAGGGAAGATGGGATGGAGTGGGGAGGGGGAGGATGGTGGGGAGCCTTTCTCCTTTCTCCTAGGGGCCAGCTCCCTTCCCAGGGGTCACTGCTTACAGCTGCAGGCCTCTGAGAGCTCACCAAAGGTAGGCCTGGGGGGCCTGAGGGTGGCGGGAGAGGAGAGTGAATGTGGAACGATGCCCTGGGGCCACTTCCCACCCTGGGAGGGGATGTTCTCAGGGGAGCCACAGCCCTGTCACCAGCTCAGAGATGCTCAGAGAGGCAGAGCCCAGCCTGGCCCTCTGCGGTCTGGCTCAGGTCCCCACCTTTCCACCGTGTCCACTTCGGTGGGGCACCAGCCCTGGATCTCACAGGTCCGGAGGTCAGCGCTATAGTTCACACAGCGGCCAGTGAGGATGCCTGGGAGGGTGAAGCCACAGTGCTGGGTGGCCCTGCCCTGGGCCTCTCCCTCCCTCCTCCTCCTTCTCCTCAAGCCTACCCCAACCAGCAGGCACAGGGAGAGACAGGCAGGTTTGCCCTGCTGTGCTCTCTCCCTCCTCTCCTCCTCCCTTCTCTCCACCAGAGCCCCAGCCCCAGCCCCAGCCCCAGCCCACCCATCCACCACCTGTTGTCTTTTCACCCTTCCACTTTTGCCCCCAGGGCCTGCTGCAGCCAGAGGAGGCCCCCTCTGTCCTGCCAAAGCCCTCCCAAAAGCCCACCACCTCCGGAAACCTTTGAGGTCCACCCATGCAGAACCAGTGTCGCTCCCTTCCTCGGGCTCCCAGAGTCTTTTCTTCACCTCCTGAACAGCACCTGTCACTACACTGTACCCTCTGCCAGTGCCCAGACTGGGAGTTCCTCAGGGGCCAGGGGTCGTGTTGCCCCCGTGGCCCTCATGGGGTCTGGCACCCAAAAGCAGAATGACACGGGGTGGGTTGGCTCCCACTCCCTTTCTTGGGTGGGTTCCGGGGTCCCAGGCACTCACCCCCACCAGGAAAGCGCTCGGGCCCGCACTGGCTGTCAGACACACAGCGGTATTTCTCTTCGTTCTGTGGACAGACAGGTCGGCATGTGGGTGAAGGGCCCTGCCCTGGCCCCCAGCTGAGCCTCTGGGTCCCCACTGCCTCCCACAGCTACAGCCTCTGGAGGGCGGAGGTCCCTGGTCACAGCCCCATGGCTGGACTTTGGGCCTCTGCTTACTCCCATGCCCCTCCCTGCCACCACCACCCCAACTCCCTTCACCAGCTTCCTCTGACCTCCCTTCCTCCCTCCCTCCCTCCCCTCACCTCTGGGCAGAACCCTTGCATCTGGTTTTCAGTAACGATCATCTTGGTGATGATGACAAAGACAGAGGTGCCCTTGGGAAGAGAAGAGAGAAGGGGGGAAGAAATGCAAGGGCCTCAGTCCATGAGGTCGTGATGGTCGCTCTCCCCACTCTACGGATGAGGAACCTGAGGCTCCAGGGAGTGATTTGGCCCAGTGCAGAGCTGGGATCCAAACCAGGCTCTCTTCCACCCCCACACCGTCCTTCTTGCCCACTTTTTGTGTTGTCCCTCGTTGAGGCAGAGCCTGGAGGGGGCGCTGCCTTCCTGATGCTTAGCAGTGAATGCTGCAAGGCAGGTCCCAGCAGCTGGGGAGAGGGTCTCTGGGTCACTGACACCACAGGTTCTGGCTTGCAGATCCCATTGCCACTGTCCTTGCCCTGCCCAGCGTCTGGGCATCCACAGGCTGCCTGGAGTAGGGGGTGGGGAGATTGTACCTGGGGTGGGGTCACGTAATCAGACACGTCCATGACTCTGTTGGCATAGCGTCCGAAGCCCTTCACCTTGGTCACCACCGAGGACTCGATGGCAGTGTCCCGCACCTGGTACGCCTTCTCATGCAGGAAAACCCACCTGCGGCAGGACAGAAGGGACAGGGAGAGGGGAAGAGACAGAGAGACAAAGAGGTGCCCACAGGCTCGGCAGATAGGGGCCACAGCCAGGTCTCCTTCTACCTACATTAGGACGATGGGGGTGGGGGTGGGGCGTTGCCTGGCAGGGGAAAGCTGGCACTGGAGGGGAGGGAGCCCTTGGTTGGTTTACAGCAGCCTTTTCCACCTTTTCCCCATGACCACCCATCTCCTGAGCCTTTGAACTTTGGAAACTTTAGTATCAAAGGTATCTGTTTATGCGCTCTATGTGTATTTAGGATTTACGCATAAAATCAATTTGACCTCTTAAGAACCCACTTTCACCCCTCAGGGTGGCATTGCCCCACTGAGAATGCGTGGCTCAGCTCTTCTCTCTGCTGGAGACTGTAGGGGCCGAGGAACCCCACGGGCTCTCTCATGCTGGGCATCCCAGCTTTGTTGGTGGCTGTATCCCCAAGGCCCAAATCATTGAAGGACCCTGCGGACAGGGTGCCTGGGTGTCCATCTGCCCAAGTGTGAGGTGATAAGGATGGAGGAGGAAGAGAGGGGCAGCAGCTGTGTGTACATGGCAGGTAAATGGAGCTGGGTTGGAAAGGTGGTGGCCGTGGTGGTGGGAGTAGAGAGGGCCCCTAATCTTATTCCTTGGATTGTGCTGCCACCCAGTGGTCATTTACTTGCACTGGCTTCTCCTTGCATCTCTGAGCCGTTCTGGGCCCACAAGGACCAGGGGAGGCCTTAGCTTCTGTCACCCCATGGGCCTTCTCAGGCTCTCCCAGCTGTCCCTGCCTGCACACACTTGCTGGCAACTCCTTCCCTGCGCTTCTGCCAGGAACCAGTCTTTCCACCATTCAGCACAACCCTAAAATCTCAAACCTCTCTCCACCTCAATCAGTACTGCTCTTGCAGCCTGCGTGACACACTGAGAGGCAGCTGCTGTCACTCTCCCCCCACCACAGGTGAGAAAAGCCCACCAGCGTGTTTGCAAAATGCTTTCTGCTGCCCTTACCTCCTCAAGGCAAGACATCCAATGCAAACAAACAAAAAACAAATAAATCTGCTAAACCTTGTTAACCTTGCTGCCTCCCAGGCTTATGGGACCACAGAAGCTAGCTTGGGAGGCATGGTGGTGACATCTCATGGAATCGAGGAGCTCACGTTTGGAAATGCTAGGGTCACTCTCTGCACCTAACCAGGGTGGAATAAGGTTGGAAAACCACCTCAAATGCAGGAGAGTGGCAGGAAAGTGACACTGCACAGCTCGGGGACAAAGCTCTGGAAATCCTTGGCTGGGTGGCTGCAGAGGCCACACTAGGGCCGTGTGAAGAGTTCAGAAGGCAGGCAAGGGGTCTCAAGCTCAGGAGCTTCTTTCTTTCAAGATGTACTTGTTGGGACTGGTGCTGTGGCATGGCAGGTAAAGCCATTGCTTGTAGTGCTGGCATCCCGTGTGGGCACCGGTTCAAGTCCTGGCTGCTCCACTTCCTATCCAGCTCCCTGCTAATACTTCTGGGAAAGCAGCAGTTGATGGTTCAAGCCCTTGGGCCCCTGTACTCACGTGGGAGACCTGGAAGAAACTCCTAGTTTCTGGCTTCAGACTAGCCAAGCTCTGGTCATTGTGGCCATTTGGGGAGTGAACCAATGGATGGAAGACCTCTCTCTTTCATTGCCTCTGCCTATCTGTAACTCTGCCTTTCAAAAAAAATATATCTTTTTTTAAAAATATGTACTAATTTGTTTGAAAGGCAAAGTCAGAGAGAGAGAAAAGAGAGAGAGAGAGAGAGAGAGAGAGGAGAGAGAGTTTTCATCTGTCGATTCACTCCTCAAATGGTCACAACAGCCAGGAACTTTTGCTGGATCTCCCATGTGGGTAGCAGGACCCCAAATACTAGGGCCATCTTCTGCTGCTTTCCCAGGTGTATTAGCAGGGAGTTGGAAGTGGAGTAACCAGGACACGAGCCAGTGCCCATATGGGATGCCTGTGTCGTAGGTGGTGGCTTAACTCATTATGCCACAATCACCCAGGAGCTTTTAACAACCCCAGTGCTGGCCATGAATGGTCAGCTCTGGGATGTGGTGGGTGCCCCATGATTGGGGAAACTCAAGAAGAGACTTTAAAAAGAGAATTTTAAAAATGTATTTATTTATTTATTTGAGAGAGAGAGAGGGAGAGAGAGAGAGACATGCTTCCAAATGCCCATAATGGCCAGGCCAATGCCAAAAACTCCATCTGAGTCTCCCATGTGGGTGGCAGGTACCCAACTACTTGAGCCTTCACTACTGCTTTTTGAGGTCTGATAGGAGAATTGGAACTGAAGCATTCCCAGGGCTGGAGCTGGGCACTCTGAGATGGGATCTGGGCATCCTAATTGGTGTCTTAACAACTCTGCCAAACGCCTGTCCCTCAAGGAGGAACCTGAAGCTCCCCTTCCAGGTGTGCTGGGAGGAGACCCCTTTCCTGGGTAAAAGTCAGACTGGGTGACCTTTGGGGTCCTCCACTGTTGGGAGATGCAAACACATGAGGGTCAAAGTCACTTGTAGGGTGGGAACCACAGTCATGTTTACTGCAAACGCTGGCTGACATTTGCAAGTGGCTCTGCCTCAGTTCTCAGTGCAGGGCTTGTGGTTATCCTGACAATGGAGCTTTCTTTGCTTACTTACTTAATAATTTTCATTTGCAGTGGGCAGGTAATCATTGTATGTATTTATGGGGTGCAAGGTGAGCACTGTGTATGTGTAATATGTACTTGTTGTGAAATGGTATAGCAAGCGATTGCATCACATGTCATTTTCCCCCTGTCACTCACTTGCACTCGGCATGCTTTCTTGAGTTGGGGAGAAAGGGTGGAGTCACGGCCGGCCCTGGCAAATGGCTCCAAGCCTGTTACCTGTTTTATTGCTGCTGCTTACAACAGCAACATCCAAATGAACGCACCATTAGGAGTTACTCATTTGCTTGTAAAATGCTTTTATGAATGCCATACCTCTACGGAAGTCTGTGGCTCTGTCCACTTTACCTCGCTAGCACTTTCCTCCTCTATTTGGGAGAGGTGGGGTTTCCTTCAGACCTCCCGAGAAGTGTGCCTCAGACAGAAACCTTACCCGCCCCACGTTAGTCCTAGCAGAGGAGTGGGCAGCACGCAGTTCTCCAAACGGGCATGACTGGCTCATGGCCCGGGATCCTCCACAGTGAAGCGAGTGAGGGCTCCTGGCCCAGGCTCTCTGCTCCCAGCTGAGACGGCTGCTGCTGCAGCTGAGCACTCTCCAGAGTGGGAGCCACAGCCTAAACACGCCCTTCCGGAGCCCCAGTGTGCCTAGTCACAGATCACGCCACAAATGAGGAAACCGAGGCACGGAGGTGTGTGCTGATGCTCCCAACACCATACAGCTAGCATGTGGGTTCCAAACCCGGCATTCTGCTCCAGGCCTCACATGGCCACCTCAATGCAGGCTCCAGCTGTGCCCTAGCTCAGGGCCCGAATTGGACCCTGGTGCTTGTCCTGCCAGCCCCTGCTCCATCACCAGGGACAGCATCTCCTGGTTTAGGAAAGTCCCCGGAGGAAGGGGCCAAGGACTCAGAAGAGCATTAACACCCTCCTTCCTCCTCCTTTAAGGCCTTCCTGTGCCAAGCAGGGAGGAGAGGCCACATTGGTCCCTGGCGGGGGCTGAGGATGTTATCAGGGCAGCTGGAAATAAGGGGAGGCTTTGTTTCCAGCACAGAAGGGTTGAGTCTGTCTCTGGAGGCCTGGGCTTGGGAGATGGGGCAGGACTAAGCCTCCGGTTCTTGGCATTTACTCGGATGCTTTTATTTTTTCTCGCATTCCCAGTTTATTATTTATAGAGCGGAAGGCGGGTGGCAGCTCCTTGGCATGTGGGATGTTTAGGGAAGAGGCCAGAGCAGTGTCCTAACACCCTCCCGTCCACCCGACAGGGAGTCAGGAGGAGGCCAGCAAGTGGGCATGAAGAATGTGCATTGTGTATGCCCAGGAAGAGTTTCTTCAGGAAGTGTGAACAGGGCAGAGGGAAAGGCAGGAGTGCACTGGGGGTCTGTGGAATGATGATAGTTTCCACCGATGAGAGTCACCATCTCAGGCAAGGCACTTGACGCCTGTTACCTCCCCTCCTCTTACTCCCTGGGAGGAGGTATTCCTGAACCCATTCTCCAGGTATGAGGACTAAGACCTAGAGATGGACAGGAACTTCTCCAAGGCCCTGCTCCTTGTTGGTGTCAGAGCTGGGTTGCTCCATGTTCCCTGCTCCCCCAGCCAGGGCAGGCACAGAGGAATCACTAATCTCCTTGCACCTGTGACATGGGGAATTCCCACAGGTCTCCCACCATAGTTGTCATCTGCTGACTGATCAGGTGCTGCAGGGTGCTACCTGGGGCTCAGGGGATGAGGTGGGGATGGGAAGAGGTGGAATTCCAAACCCTTCTCTTTAAACCAGGGCAATGCCTCCCTTTTAACTGCTTTAAGCATTGGACTCATTCATTGGATCTACAAAGAGACTGAATATTACAGGTGGTTGCCCACAGGGTGAATTTGCAGATTGGTCTTGGTAAGAGGAGGAAGAAGACAGGCAAGGCAGGCCTGTGATTGGTTGGAAGAACCATCAACCACCACTGGTTTTCCCAAGGAATGGGGTATCAAAGGGCCGGGAAATGCCTTGCCTGCAATGAGGCAGCTTCTTTGGGAAGGGCCCTTGACCAACCTCAGGCCAAGCACCAGCCAGCATTTGTAAAGATTGGGGTCCCAGGGTTTTCCTCTACTTCCTCCTTAGGTCTCCACATGGGATCCAGAACGGGGGTTAATGTTAGGAAGTCCCAGCCCATGGGGTGAGAAACACCAGGTCAGTCCTGGTCTCTGTGCACTGGGGCTGGGTAAAAGAGACAGAGAAGACATGGAGTCCACCACAGACACGCAGCCCAGGGCTTCAGGCGGGGGTGACTGTGTAGAGATAGCTGGATGCTGTACTGTTGCAAATGCACCCAGAAATGGCTGGTTCTCCCTAGTTATGTTCTAGGTCAGTTCTGCCCACATGGTGGGATGACAGGGCCCAGCACTAGTTAGACATTACCATCACAGCAGTAAAAATCCTTACACAGTCTGCCAAGTCTGGGCTGCTGTCGTCTCTTTCCACTTCTTTTTTTTTTTTTTTTTTTTTTTGACAGGCAGAGTTAGACAGTGAGAGAGTGACAGAGAGAAAGGTCTTCCTTTTCCATTGGTTCACCCCCCAAATGGCCGCTACGGCCGGCGCTGCGCCGATCCGAAGCCAGGAGCCAGGTGCTTCCTCCTGGTCTCCCATGTGGGTACAGGGCCCAAGTACTTGGGCCATCCTCCACTGCACTCCCGGGCCACAGCAGAGAGCTGGACTGGAAGAGGAGCAACCAGGACAGAATCTGGCTCCCCAACCGGGACTAGAACCCCGGGGTGCCGGTGCCACAGGCGGAGGATTAGCAAAGTGAGCCGTGGCGCCGGCCTCTTTCCACTTCTTAACAAGTTTTCCTGCACCCACTTTCACTCTCTCCAGTGCCTTGGCATATAAGCAAAGGCGACCTTCATAACTCAGATCTCATCATGTCTGTCCCTCTCCATCTCTCACACACACATGTGTGCAGAGTTAAACGCTTCTGTGGGCAAGCTCTCCGAGAGTCTGAAGAATGGCCTCTGTGTGCACATCCACCTGACAGCACCTTTGCCTCTGCTCCCTCCATTCCAGCCACAGGGCACCCTCCGCTTTGCTAGGCTCTTTCCCCATGCTGGGGGTGGGGGGGACTCTCAGCCTCGGGCCTTCCTTTCTTTCCCTTGAATTGCTCCCATCCGTCTTTCAGATCCTGGCTCGGTCATCACATCTGTGGGAACACTTTCCTTCATCCCTGCCCACTCTCATAGCAATAGTGGCTCTCCTAGTTCGGTACACCTCTGAGTCATAGTTGCAACTTGATGTTTGTGAGGTCATGGAATTATTGTTTTATACTGGAAGCCCCATGAGGGCGTGGACCCCGTCTGCTTTTGTCTACCATTCCATCTTGGTGCACAATGGCTGGCTGGAAGGGATACTGGCTACATTTTTTTTTCTGAATTTACTATGACAGGTTCATGAAGTCACAGAAGTGCATGGGCTCATATGTCCAGAGATGGATGGGCTCAGGCCAAAGGGCTAGACTGCAGAGTGCACGGATGTAACCGGAAGGCACTGCTCCGTGGGGAGCTGTCAGGCTGGGAGATGGATGGGGCTGGAAACCAAGATGCCAAAGAGCCTCGCATGCTTGCTGCAGCCCCGTGCACTGATGCTAACGAGGGGGAAACATGAGCAGGGGCGGCTGTCCAGGAGCCTGCATCTCTACCTCCCATGACTCCCGGCTGCAGCCAACGGAGCCAGCCAGGCTGGGGATGTGCTGAGACAGCTTTTGCGCTCACCTGGCCCAGCACACTGTCTCTTGGCTATAAATGGTCCCAGCCTTGAGCAAACACACAAACATGGGATGTTTAAGAACCCACTTTGAACTGTGCTCGGGAGATACAGATGCAGAACATCAGCAAACATCACATCTCACCAAACCTCAGTACTGGAAGGGAATACCAGGCTGTTCAACCATTCCCCAAAGCTACTCTGCTAGCCCTGCAAGGAGCACTGGATGCGCACCCTTGCTACAGTATCCTCAAACAGAAGCCTACGGGCTTTTGTCAAGCATGTGGAGCAAAAAAAATTTGCTTAAAAATAATATCTTCCCATTGTTTCACGTACATCCTTACCCACTACTCTGATCTTTCATGTAAGCAGGCTCCTGCACACACACACACACTCAGGATGTCTCCATCGCTTGCCTGAATTCATTCATGATGGGCAATCCCTGGCTGCTCTCACACACATTGTGAGAAGCATTGTGAAACTAGGCACCCACACACACCAGAAAAGAAAACTTCTGAGGTTCTGCCCATGTTTTCAGGTGCCCACTGCTACGTGGAAATGACCACAAGAAAGATAGAACCTGTCTTTTTCCTGCCTCCCTCTTGCTACCCCCAGCTGCTGTCTGGTCCATGGCCCTTTGTGTGTATGGAGGTGTGAGCCTCCAAGAGGTGGGGCCGGGAGGGGTTGTCTGGGCCTGGCCAGCTGCCAGGAGCTCAGGCTGGGTTATCAGGCACCAAGGCGGGCAGAAGCAGGGAAACTGTGCTGTCTGACAACGGGCAGTTCTGGATTCTTGCAGAGGGACCCCCACTCTGTTTAGGAACACTACCTTTCTCCTCTGCAGACACTCTCCCCTTGAGTGGTTATCTGTGCCACCTCAGGGGGCAGCTTCCATCTTTGTCCTAGCCTCCAAGAACAAGGGTTTCTCCCCTTTCCAAGCCCTCTCACCGTCTCCCCATGCCAGGAGGGGAGTTCCTCGTCCCAACGCAGAGCGGTTCTCCCTCCCTCTCACCCACCATGAATCCCATCAACCGACCAATCCTTACCATCTCCCCTGTTTCCAGGCCTCCCCCAGGCTCCCTCGCCTTTTTGAGACCCCAAAGAGCTGATTGAGGGGACTGGGAGGATGTGGGGAGGGGCTGGCTGTTCTCTGGTGGGGGGGTGGCTGGAAGAGAGAGAGAAAGTAGAGGAGAGGGGCCACCTGGGATTGCTCCCGGTGGAGGGCAGTGCCAGGCCAAAGACCCCACTCCTTGGAGTGTGGATCTAGAAGTCATTCTCCAACTCTGGAGGACTTACTGGGGAAAAGTATTCACCTGGGGGCCAGATCCCAGTGCGTGGGGCTGACGCTAGTCTGTAGGAAGTGGCTGCACAGTGCAAAATGTTTCCCCCAAAAGGCAAAGCCCGTAAACCTGAAGAGCAGCCCTGTGGGATGGAGGGAGGGCAGGACACCAGGACAGGGTCACAGACTCACCCCACGAAGTAGGAGATGATCAGAAGCTGCACGGCTCGGTTGATGATCCCGATGGTCCAGCTCTTCACAACCACCGACTTGGTGGTCTCATAGGTGAAGAAGTCTGATACACAGTTCATGCTGCCAGAGAGCTCAGGGGCCCCTGGGAAGGGGCCCAATGGCAGCTCAGGAAAGACAGGTCCTCGGGGCCAGGAAGCCTGGAGCAGGTAGCTCAGAGGGGCTCCAGGAATGGGAAACCTGTTCCTTTAAGCCAGACAACCCCAGCCCAGTGCCCAGGCTCTCTCTGCTCTTGACACTCTGGCTGCCAAGAGTCCAGGGCCAGGGCGGGGGACCCCCTTTTTATTTGTCTCCACCCCACTCTCCTGTGATGTCACGGCAGGGGTGGGGTCTCCAAGCCTGGGCTCCTGATTGCCTGGGATGCAGCTGGCTAGGGCCCTCTGGGACTCGTGTTTTATCTGCACTCTGTCTATCGCTTCTGTTCCGATCTCTTCTGTTGCATCCTCATCCCAGCTCACCAGCTGCTGTGAGCTCTCCCTAAAGCCCCTTGCAAATGCCCCATCCCCCAGCCACCTAATAATCCGCCTGAACTGGGTAGCCCCTTTCATCTGTGAGTGCCTGTCTCGTTCCACCCAATTCTGCAGCCACCCCCTCCCTCCCTGAGTTGCCTCCAACAGCATGAGTTGGGGGGGAGGGTGTGTCTTCAATATTTTCCTGGATCTCTTGGGAGGGAGTAAATAGCATAGAGTCACATATTTTTAAACTGCAGTTGATCACAGCTAAAGCTCTACCTGTAGCATAGCAGTTATATATACATATATATATAAAACTTATACAGCAGTTATATATACATATACATACATATATATATATATATATATATATATATAGCAGTTATATGGATATACACACTCTCAGGTCATTTGTTGGATTATGCTTCCCTGGAAGGCTGGAGTTGTTTTCAGCTTGTTCACTGAAATCCTAGAAGTGTGTTGGATTAATTACAGCCCCCGGTACACTGAATTTATATTCAGATAATGTTAGAATAGCCACTACCCAGAGGTTAAAAGCCATGATTTTGGGGTGGTGGTGGGGGCAACGGTGTGTTGTCTCTTATCCCAGGACTGAGTTAGCAAGCTGGTGTAACCAGCGTCAGGGAAATCTTGAGTTTAAATATCCCGTGTAACGAATGCTTTTCTGCAGGACACATGGGCTCAGTGGCTCGGGACGTAAAACCACTGTGGTTACAGCAGAAGAGAACGGGACCGGAGTCCGAGGCGGCTTCCTGTCTCCACCTGGGTGGCCGACTCCCAGAGCCGCTGGGCAACTGCTCTCCGCAGGAGGCTGGAGGAGATAAACTCCAAACCTCTCTCCCAGCTCAGGCCGGCTCTGATTTTGCAAGGTGCACCTCTTCCAAGATGAGCTCATGTGGTTTCCAATCAGTTCTGGCTCTAAGGTGAACCCGACACCAGCGCTCGAACTCGATCCTGCCATTTGCCAGTCACTACCAGCGCCACTGCGGTTACAGAGGTGCAGAATTTGGGTGTAGACGGTGAACTCATTTCAGAAAGGATCAATCCCACTTAGCAGGGGGCAGCCGGCCAGCAGGCCTGCCACAAAGGACACGAACGCCCGCACGCGTTTCTCTCCGCAACTCTGAGGTATTTTTCTTCGTGTTCCACAGCTTCCTTTCTACCCCTAGAAATTAACCCCTACAGAAATTAACCCCCCAACCTCCGAAATCTGACAAAAATAAAGCCACGGTACACGATTTCCCTTTAGGATCCAGTCTCCGCTTGACGTGTCCTCAACGTTCTAAGAAGCCCGATGAGCCTTCATTTTCTAGTCAGTCGGACTTCACCGCTACCGCCCCGGCCTCGGGTCCTCCAGCGTCGCCGTCGCTCTAGGCGACTGTCTCTGCGGCGGGCCTGGTTGGCGTCTCTCTAGCCAGCTCATCCTCTCGATGGTCAGTGCGCGGCTTCCGGTGGCGGGACGCGGGGCCGCGCACGCGGGAAAAGCTTCCCCAGCTAACTCCCGTTCCCCGCGTCCCCGCCCCCCTCCCCCGCATCCCCCGAAGCGCCCACCGCCCGCGCCCGGCCCGTCGCGAGGCTGCAGCTTGAGGAGGTGGGTGGTCGTCGTCCCTGGGCCCCGCTCCCCCGCGGGACGCTCCGAATGGGCCGTTCCGCGTTCGAATCTGCAGGCAGCGGGCGAATCCATTTTAGCAGGAGGGGAGAACCATGAGGGCCAGGATGGAACCTAGCGCTCTGAGCTGGGTTGGGGCGCGGGAGATGTGCACGCTGCGGGCAGGCCTTGGGGTTCCGCTGCTCGTTACCATGGCTCCCGGTGTGGCGCGCAGAGAGGGTGTTGGCTTGGGGTGGTTCTGCGGGCCTGGGATTACCGGGGCTGACCCCCGGAGCACGGCACAGCCGGCCTGTTGGTTCCCGGGCAGAGGAGAGTCTGTGAACCCCCAGGGGCGGCCACCTGGCTCCATCCGTGAGCAGAGCGCGGCGCTGCGTTTCATGACTCTCTCTTGAATTCAGATTCCCAACCTGCTGACCATCTGCACACTCACCCAGGACTTGGGGCCCAGCGCCCAGTGTATTCGGTTTCCCTTGTGAGGCCTAGGGCTCTGCCCAGGCCACCAGGGGCAGGTCAACATGGCAGAGACACTGGAGTTCAACGATGTCTATCAGGAGGTGAAAGGCTCCATGGTGAGAAGGGCTTGCGTTTTTAATAGAGATGGAAGGAGGGAGCGAGCTAAAGTTGATGTACATGAACGAGAGCTTGTCCTGGTGACGTTTCTACTGGGAAAAGGAAGTCTCTGTATAACGTGCACCTGGTGTTTCCCCCCAATAAAAGGCAATTCTGAAAAGTCGCGAGAGTTGTAGGATCTCAGGGTGTGAAGGGACCGTATTTGCTATTCTGTGTTTCAAACGAGGAGACTGATGGCCTGCGCAGGTTCTGGATGCCCGAGCCAGGTGCAGAACCGAGACTTCCTGGACACTTGTGTCTCTTTACTGGTCCTCGCTTCAGCTGTTGCTCCTGCCCTGATCACCTGGCAGTCAAAGTGAATGCTGGGTAGAGCTGCACCCAGGACACGGTCTGTACTGTCCCCGTGCATCTGGGCTCACTTTCCCAACAGAATGACGGTCGGCTGAGGTTGAGTCGCCAGGGAATTATCTTCAAGAATAGCAAGACGGGCAAAGTAGACAACATCCAGGCTGGGGAGTTGACGGAGGGCATCTGGCGCCGGGTGGCTCTCGGCCACGGACTTAAACTGCTCACGAAGAATGGCCACGTCTACAAGTATGACGGCTTCCGAGAATCGGTGAGACGCCCTGTTGCCGTGAGCCCCCTTTTTACCGTGCCATCCTGTCTGCTTTTAGTCTTCTAGAGGGAGTTGAGGTTCCCTCTGGTAGCCCCCGTGGTGCTGGTTTGGCTCCCTGGGCAGGGCCATTGAGGCCATTGAGCAATCAGTGGGTCAGCTCTGAGTGTTCTAGAGCGTTCACAGCTTTTCTGTGTTTTGGTTCCAGAAGATCTGCTTCCTACTGTTCTGGTTTAAATCGTGCTTTCTGCTTGTTTGCTCGTATCCAGGTTCAGAATCTTAGCTGGATGCTTTAGTTCAGGCTTTGCTTTTCCCTCTTAAACTGTTCTGAGTGAAAGACTTAACTTTAATGTCCACTTCTATTAAAACAATGAACACACAAAGTTTAGGAAGTCAGATAACATGGTGAGGTCCAGAAACAGGAATGCCAGTCCCTCTCTTTACTCCTCCCCTAGTCTGAGGTCCAGCTCCCAGGAGCAGCCTCTCTCCACAACCTTTTAAACCATTTCAGAGCTGAGCTGCTGAGTCAGCATGGACTTTTTTTTTTTTTTTTTTTAAGACTTATTTATGTATTTGAAAGGGAGAGTTACAGAGAGAGAGAGAGAGAGAGAGATCTTCCATCCACTGGTTCACTCCCCAAATGGCTGCAAAGGCCAGGGCTGTACCAGGCTGAAGCCAGGAGCCAGAAGCTTCTTCTGGGTCTCCCATGTGAGTGCAGGGGTCCAGGGGCTTCGGCCATCTTCTGCTTTCCCAGGCGCCTTAGCAGGGAGCCGGTTCAGAAGTGGAGCAGCTGGGACTTGAAGCAATACCTTTATGGGGTGCTGACACTGCAGGCTGTGCCACAGCACCAGCTCCCTGCATGGATTTTTTGGTAGAAGTCCTATTGGGGCAATTTTTTGGATATAGGTAATGTCAGGACATTCGTGTCGGTTAAGGCCACTGGAGCTGACTGTGGTTGCACTTTCTCCCTTCCACTCATAGGAGTTTGAGAAACTCTCTGATTTCTTCAAAACTCACTATCGCCTTGAGCTAATGGAGAAGGACCTGTGTGTGAAGGGCTGGAACTGGGGGACGGTGAAGTTTGGAGGTGAGTCTTGGGGAGCAGGTAGGATCAAGGGCTGCAGCCTTTCTTATTCTCTTCCTCTGCCACAGTCTCCGGTTTCCTGTCGGGTGGGTTGCTCAATGCACCTGTGGTGTGTCAGGCTTTGTGCCTGGTCTCGGGGTGCAGCGTGAACAAACAGCCCCGGCACCCCGCCCTTACGGAACTCCAGGTTCGGTGGGCTTCTTGTCGATGCAGACGTGGGGGGAGCCTGAGGCTTGAGCAGCCCTCTTCTCACAGGGCAGCTGCTTTCCTTTGACATTGGTGACCAGCCGGTCTTCGAGATACCCCTCAGCAACGTGTCCCAGTGCACCACAGGCAAGAACGAGGTGACGCTGGAATTCCACCAGAACGACGACGCGGAGGTGTCCCTCATGGAGGTCCGCTTCTACGTGCCTCCCACCCAGGAGGACGGCGTGGATCCCGTGGAGGTGAGGCCTCCCCAGGCGCCCCGGTGCAGACGGGGCTGAGCAGGCCATGGGCTGGCCTGCTGCCGGGTTAACAGTGTGTGCTTCGGCAGGCCTTTGCCCAGAACGTGCTGTCCAAGGCGGACGTCATCCAGGCCACTGGAGACGCCATCTGCATCTTCCGGGAGCTGCAGTGCCTGACTCCCCGTGGTCGTTACGACATCCGGATCTACCCCACCTTTCTGCACCTGCACGGCAAGACCTTTGACTACAAGATCCCCTATACCACGGTACTGCGTCTCTTCCTGCTGCCCCACAAGGATCAGCGCCAGATGTTCTTTGTGGTGAGCAGAGCCCCTGGGGGCGGAGGATCCCGATTTTTGTCTGAGGACTTTCTTTTTTTTTTTTTTTTTTTTTTTTTTTTTGACAGGCAGAGTGGACAGTGAGAGAGAGAGACAGAGAGAAAGGTCTTCCTTTTGCCGTTGGTTCACCCTCCAATGGCCGCCGCGGCTGGCGCGCTGCGGCCGGCGCACCGCGCTGATCCGATGGCAGGAGCCAGGAGCCAGGTGCTTTTCCTGGTCTCCCATGGGGTGCAGGGCCCAAGCACCTGGGCCATCCTCCACTGCACTCCCTGGCCACAGCAGAGGGCTGGCCTGGAAGAGGGGCAACCGGGACAGAATCCGGCGCCCCGACCGGGACTAGAACCCGGTGTGCCGGCGCCGCTAGGCGGAGGATTAGCCTAGTGAGCCGCGGCGCCGGCCTGTCTGAGGACTTTGTGACTGGGTCTCATTTTTCAAATGTTAAAAAACAGCAAGACAAAAAACCACCCTACATGCTTCCAGTTTTGAAAAACCCTCCAATATCTGAACTATGCTCCCAAGATCAACTCGTGGCCTCGTTGAGGGAGTCTGTGCTTCAGAAACACAGTTCTCCAAGGACGAGGACATCTCCTTGACTCTGAACATGAATGAGTGAGTGTCTCCCTGGACTCCCGTCCTGCCGCTGTGCAGGCAGGAGGCAGATGATGCTGGCAGAAGTCTCTAATGCCGGTGATGTGATCTTGCTCTGTTTGTAGGGAAGAGGTGGAGAAGCGCTTTGAGGGGCGGCTCACCAAGAACATGTCAGGATCCCTCTACGAGATGGTCAGCCGGGTCATGAAAGCACTGGTGAACCGCAAGATCACAGTGCCGGGCAATTTCCAAGGGTGAGCATGCGAGCCGGGTTCCCTGTCCAGGGAAGGGAAATGCTCCCTCTCCGTGGCGGACCCCTTCGCAGATGGGATCGCGTGTCGTGACGGTGGTTGGTGTCTGTTGGAGCAGCCGAGTGAGACTGACCGGGCTGAGGCTTGGAGCTCACCTGTGTTGCAGCTGCCTGCTGGGCCCTTTGGCTTTGCTGAGGTTGGCATTGAGTCGGCCCCCTGCTCCTTCCTTCAGGCACTCAGGGGCCCAGTGCATCACCTGTTCCTACAAGGCGAGCTCAGGACTGCTGTACCCGCTGGAGCGGGGCTTCATCTATGTCCACAAGCCCCCCGTGCACATCCGCTTTGATGAGATCTCCTTCGTCAACTTTGCTCGTGGCACCACCACCACGCGCTCCTTTGACTTCGAGATTGAGACCAAGCAGGGCACTCAGTACACCTTCAGTAGCATTGAGAGGTGAGAGCCTCCCCCAGTCACTGCCTGGGTGTCCCCCGTCCTGACCCAGCCTCCCCTGGGAAGCCTGGCCGGGCCTGGGGCCCTCTCTGGGCCCGTGACTCTTTCTTCTGCTTCTCTGAGGTTTGATCCTTCTCCTTGGAGTCCTCAGACTTTGGAAGCCTCTCTTGCTTTCTTTCTGTTCTTCAAAAGAAGGTTATTTTCCCTATGTGGAAGCCGCGTGCACTTGATTCCAGCCCTGATTCTCCTCCAGTCTGCCGGTGATGGAAACGCTGTGTCTTTCCTGGAGTGAGCTTCCCGTCTGAGAACACCGCCCCTGAGTGTAGAGTGTCCCCCGTGGGCCAAATGTTTTACCGAACGTCTTCGTGGTTAATCCTAGTAACAAGCTGGTGAAGCATGAAATACAGGCCAGGGAGTAGGTGCACCGCCCCCTGCCCGGACAGTCTGAGCCTGCAGTGTAGGTACCTGGTGAACAGGTAACCTCCGTCCGTCCTGACCTTCAAGAGCTCCTCCTTCAGGACTCAGCTGTGACTCTTCCTGGCTGCTGTCCTCTAAGGCTGCTCTCTGAGCTGTTGGGGTCGACGGTGTGGCTCAGCGCTCCAGGCCCACAGTCCACCCCAGCTTCTGGGTATCTGAGCATCGTTTAGTCCTGCCCTACTCAGCTGGTGACGTGGTGCCTCTCCCCTCACAGGGAGGAGTATGGGAAGCTGTTTGATTTTGTCAACGCAAAGAAGCTCAACATCAAAAACCGAGGCTTGAAAGAGGTATCTCTGTGTGGGAAGGCTGGGGCTCTCCTGGTCCCTTTTGTAGGAGAGAAAAGGGAGAGATTTTTTTTCTGGCTTCTTTTTTCACTCTCTTCTCTTCTTACCCTTGTAGAAAAAAGAGGTGCGTGTGACCCTTTCCCTTCCTGATGCAGGTTTCCTCTGCATGACCTTAGACTCAGTCTGTGCAGCCTCGCAAGAGCCCCCACTGTGGGGCTGGGAGTGGGAGGGGCTTGGGCTAACCCAGTCGCCAGGCAGTATATGGGCACAGGCCCTGCACCTTGGCTGTGTGTGGACAGGCTAGCCCCAGGGCCTCCTGGGAGCTGCTTCTGATTTTACAGGCATGGGGGAGTGCTGTGAGTGTGCAGAGTCTGATTCAAGGGCAGATTGGGCCTCACTTGCATCTCTTCCCTGGACAGGGCATGAACCCCAGCTACGACGAATACGCAGACTCTGATGAAGATCAGCATGATGCCTACTTGGAGAGGATGAAGGAGGAGGGCAAGATCCGGGAAGAGAATGCCAACGACAGCAGCGATGACTCAGGAGAAGAGACTGGTGGGCCAGCCTCTGCTGGGGCATGGGGTGGTCGCTGGGTGCCAGGGTTAAGGGAGTGAGATTTTCGTTGGGGCAGAAGCTGATGAATCCTGTGTCTTTTTGCAGATGAGTCGTTCAACCCAGGTGAAGAGGAGGAAGATGTGGCAGAGGAGTGAGTTTTGGTTAAGATTTCTGGACGTTTCTCAGGTCCTGGCGTTAGCCACTGACCCAGAGTAGGAAAGTGACCTCCAGTGAGGTGATACATGAAAATGTTTCAGAATTGTCAGGGCTTTATAAGTAAGTGCAGGCATGTTTTGAAGCAGGAAAGGTACAGTGGGGGAGAGGACAGGAACGAGAACTGGTGCTTCCCTGTTTACTCTCTGGGTGTGCCTGGATAAGTCCTTGGCTGCGGCTTCCTCACCTGGAAATGGCAGTGGTAGCCTTCGGGCAGGACTTTGGATTGCCAGCGTTAGAAATGTGACTTGGACTTGGGGATTTGTCTAACTTCATGGAACTGGAGAGTCGGAATAGTAATTGGCTTCAGGCACTGTGGGATCTAGGAGCTCACAAGTTGTAGGGAGAATCTGAGTACTTAGTGTTTCTTCCTTAGTGCTAGATGGGTTTGCCCCGTGAGGTGCCACATGACTAGAAGCCCTGGGCAGGCTTAATCCTATTGGTGTAGCTCCCAGAGGTGCCTCTGCCTCCAGTCTGCTGCTTAGTGAGCAGGTGTGATCACCTGTCCCCTCGGCCTGAGTTAGGAGGTGTGCAGAGGGGGCCCGACCCAGGCCACGTGCCCACCCTTAGAGTGTGGCTGGTGGTGCCTGACAGAACATTGGGACTCTCAACCCGGAAGGGTGGGTCATGAGTAGTGGGTAGCAGAAACCACCCAGCAGGGGCCTGCGAGCGCTGCATGCCGCATGCTTGTGAAGGGTAACGAGCAAGGCCCTGGGACGGTGCCTGGAAAACTTGCGCAGCTTGTGGGGTGAGGTGATTGCTGCTTTCTGAGGCTAGGACACGGATTGGATAGGACAGTCGGGTTGTGCTACATTGGGTTTCATTGCTTTTGGTAGTAACTGTCTTCATCAGAAACACAACACTGTAGGAAGTGGTGAGGTGGACTTGGAGCATGTTGTAGGCCAGAGCGAGACGGTGTCTCTGTCCCTGGGCACTGGGGATGGAGTAGGCCCTGGATCAGGCCATGATGGAGAGTAGTGGAAGCCCAGTGGTTCCTTGTTTCTTGTTGATGGACTGAAGAAGTAACCTGTGGTCATTCCCGTGGTCTGGAGAGGGGGTGGTTGAAGCCACCCTAGCACAGGGGAGGGAGCAGCACTGGGGCCTGGCAGGGGGGTGCTGTGGGGTCTGTGGTCTCCTCCTCCCCACCCCCTCGCCACTTTCTGGGCAGGCGACTTTGGATTTGTTTTCCACCTCTCCTTTCCTGAGTCTAAGCCCTACTCTCCACCAGGTTTGACAGCAACGCCTCTGCCAGCTCCTCCAGCAATGAGGGTGACAGTGACCGGGATGAGAAGAAGCGGAAGCAGCTCAAGAGGGCCAAGGTGGCCAAGGATCGTAAGAGCCGGAAGAAGCCTGTGGAGGTGACGGTTCCTCCGGACTGGAGGCTGGGGGGAGGGGCTGCTCCTTTCTGTAGCCAGTGATCATGGCCTTGTGGGATATCATCGGAAATGTTTGTCTCTGGTCCTGAGATAATGAGCTTCTGGAAGATCTGAAGCAGGAGACAGGCTGTGACTGCTTCAGGAGCCCAGGGGCAAGGGGGCCCTTGGTGGGCACCGCCCTGAGTGTGGAGGGGAAGGCGGCACCATCTTGGCAGTCTAGCCTGGGCTACTTAGTCCTTCCTCCTCTGTTCCTCCAAGTTAAGTGGTCTGGATAGTTTCTTTGGGAGAGTGGGAGGTCTGGGAAGCAGATGGCTGAAGGCACCTGGGTTCTCTCCTATGTAGGTGAAGAAGGGCAAGGACCCGAATGCACCCAAGAGGCCCATGTCTGCATACATGCTGTGGCTCAATGCCAGCCGGGAGAAGATCAAGTCAGACCACCCTGGCATCAGCATCACGGATCTTTCCAAGAAGGCAGGCGAGATCTGGAAAGGAATGTCCAAAGAGAAGAAAGAGGTGGGTGGCAGCCGAGAGCAGGGGCGGGGAGGGGTCTCATTGCTGGCGAGAGGGACTTTGTTGGGTGGTGAGTCTTGTAACTGGCAGAGGGGGCACGGGAGCCACAGTGGGACTTCCTGGGCAGGTTTTGCCTGCGTCACAGAGAGAGCGTCATCGTCTGCTGTTCTCTCTCTGTGTGCGAGTGACAGGAGTGGGACCGCAAGGCCGAGGATGCCAGGAGGGAATATGAGAAGGCCATGAAAGAATACGAAGGGGGCCGAGGCGAGTCTTCTAAGAGGTGAGCGTCAGGAAGATGGCCCAGAGGCTCTTGGCAAGTTTTTTTTTTTTCCCCCGGAGTGAAGTTGGGAGTTGAGGTGTTGGAGTAGATAGGGCTTTGACAAAGCAGGCCTGTGCTTCTCCAGCTGCCCAAGAGTGGGTGAATTCAAGTCACCAGATCAACATGGCCCTTTTCCCTGGAGGGTCAATTTCATTGGAAGATACAGGGGAGTTAAAATTATTATGGAGAAGGGTGAGAAAAATCACCTGAATTTTCAAAGATAAAGCAAGAAATGCAAATGAGTTTGGCCTGTGGGGCTGCCTTGGGCTATGGCTTTTGGTTCTTCTGGTGAATTCACTCAGGGAATGCCCTGGGGGCACCCTGGGCAGCATGGGGCAGCTGTTCACCTTGAGAGTGAACGGGGCAGTGTGGCTGGGACTGGGCACGACCTGATGTAAGCTGGGAGAGGTCTGGCCTCACCCATGACAGGGGGATCCTGCAGGTGCAGCTCCCTTTTACTTCTCCCGATGCAGAGACAAGTCCAAGAAGAAGAAGAAAGTGAAGGCAAAGATGGAAAAGAAATCCACACCCTCCAGGGGCTCGTCGTCCAAGACGTCATCCCGGCCGCTGAGCGAGAGCTTCAAAAGCAAGGAGTTCGTGTCCAGTGACGAGAGCTCTTCAGGCGAGAACAAGAGCAAAAAGAAGAGGCGGCGGAGCGAGGTCAGCGAGACAGCGGGCGCAGTTGGGCGGGGAAGGGTTTGGGGCGTGAGTCTCGGGTGCGGGGTGTTCCCGGCTCAGGGGTTGTGGTGGGTCTGTGAGAGGGAGGAACTGGCAGTGGATGGGAGGGGTTCTGAGGCTGGTGAAGGTGGGTGCTAGCGCTGCCCGGGATGGGGACCAGAGGCCCCGCACTGAAGTGTGGCCAGGTGTCTGGTGTGCTGTGCCTTTCCCCTAAGAGGCCTCTCTGGCTTTCAGGACTCAGAGGAAGAGGAGCCAGCCAGTACCCCGCCCAGCTCAGAGGACTCGGCGTCAGGATCCGATGAGTAAAGAGGAGGAAGAGAATCCGCTTGCCCCGTCACAGCCCCAGGCTCCCCACCGGGTTTTGGGCCCAGTTTCTGCTCACATGACGCGTGGTCCTCAGAGTCCGTGCCCCCGGGACACGCTCTCCCGGTGGTGCGCACTTCCCTGGGATGGGGAGGTGTCTCGCTTCTGCCGCTTCACGGGATGGCGCCTTACAATCTGGGGAGAGATTGGGTGGGAGGCGGGGCACAGGACCCAGATCCCTGTCCTGCGTTCCCCACCTTCGGGATACAGCCACCGCTATTTCTCCTTCAAGTTGCCGCAGCAGGAGTCGTGTGAAATCAGGCCTGAAACTCCTCGGTGGGGCCTATTTCTACCTTCATTTTGTATTTCTGGTCTGTGAAAATCAACATTTAATAAAGGGAACTGACTTTGGAACACGTGTCCTCCTCGTGCCTTCTTTCTAGCCCTCTTGCGCTGCTCCCGCTCGGCCCACTGTTCCTGGGCAGGGCGCTCCCGGGCAGCCGGGAAGCAGGTCTCCCAGGTCCGGCTGCACCAGCATTGGTTTTCACCCCCTCTGCCGGGATGGGCCACCTGAGAGTCTAGAAATGGGAGCTGATCTGATTAGTAAGCCTCCCTCACAGCTCCACTCCATCAGCCAGGCCAAGGGGGAGGCGGCCCTCTGCTCCTTGCTTAAATCACCTTATGAGTCAAGGGGTCTTGGAAAGCTTGGGCTAACACAATCAGGATTGACTGTCCTCCCGGGCGGGCGGGGGAGTGGAAACCGGAGCTGGCGGAGCAGAACGAGGGCGTGTGTGTGTGTGTGTGTGTGTGTGTCTGTGTAGGGCTGCAGGAAAGGTGTGCAGGGTGTTTGTGTGTGAAGCTTTTGTTCTGAGGTGCGGGAGGAGACAGAACCACACGTTAGGGTTGGAAGGAACTTAGGGCTGAGACAGATAATGGGAGTGACCCAGGGAAGCAGAGCCGCCCAGCTGAGTGGACACACGTCCAGCAGCCACGTCGCGAACGGCCTCAGGACTCAGGTGGCTGGGAACAGGAAGCCAACCCAGTCCGCCAACGCTACCCTCTTGCCCGACGTGGCTCTATGGTGCTGCAGTCCCTAAGAGCGGCCCGGCCCGAGGAGGGGGCAGTGCCAAGGCTGCCTCCTCTCTAGGCGATCGTCTCGGTGGCCATTTTACCCAAGCGCTCCCAGCCGCTGAATTGCGTCAGTTTCGCCCGAATCTGAGCCCCGGGGCGGGCCCCTCATTTGCAAGATCATGAATAATTGAGTAGCGGGCCGCGTCTGTTTGCATACGGCGGGACGGGCTCGGCCTGGGCGTCCCACTCGCGGGTTCCACCGGCTCATGAATATTCACAAGCGAGCTGGGGGCGTGGTCGTGGGCGGAGCTGGGGGCGGGGCCCCCGCCGGGGCTCGCACTGGCTCGGTCCCGCGGTGACGGCGGCGGCGGCGGCAGTGGCGGCGGGGACTGGCGTCGGGGCGCCGGCTGAGCGGAGCCGGATCCCGGGAGAGCGCGTGAGTGCGCGGGGCCCGGCGGGCGGGAGGGCCAAGGAGGAGGCGGGGTCCGCGGTGGGGCGGGGAAGGGGCATGGGAGGAGTGGGCGCGTTCCAACCAGGACCTCGGGTTGCGGTGGTGGTGGTGGTGGGTGTGGGGGGGGATCGTGACTAGGAAAGTTTGCAGGGGCTGGGGGCGCTGGGGCGGGGGGGAGGGGGCGCTGGCGCGTGTGCGCGGGCGTGGGGGGCGCAGGTCTGGAGCTCGTGCTGGCGGAGCCAGAAGAAAGGGGGGAGGGGGCGAGGGCTTGGGGCGGGGCTGGGGGCGGGCGGAGCGGCTGGAGGGACCCCCGCCTCCCCGTCCCCCGGGCCCGCGCCGTCCCCTCCTCCGGCTCCCTCGGCACGCCCCCAGCCACCCCAGTCCGCCCCCACGTAGCCGGGCCACCGTCTGCTCGCCTGCTGCTTCTCGTCCCGCGCGCAGGTCCACCGCTGCTGCCGGCGTCGCCCCCTCCTCCTCCACCCTCCTCCTCCTCCTCCTCCTCCTCCTCCTCCTCCTCCTCCTCCTCCTCCTCGGCGGCCGCCGTCCGCTCTGTGTCCGGAGCTCCCCACCGGGCCCCTCCAGACAGCCCCTTGCCCCGGGCTGTTCTGTCTTCCCGCTGGCCCTCCCTCTTCCTGCAGTTTGCACGCTGTCCCTGCCGACCTCTCTGGCCCCGGACCCGCCTGGAGGAGGTTCTAGGGTCCACAGGGACGCCCCGGCCTGCGCCCCCCTACGCGAGCCCGGAGCCGCCTGGCCCCTTCCCAGCCTTGCTGGTGATCGCCTGTCTCCCGCGAACTCCTGCGGGCTGGAAGTGCTGCGAGCTGCTGCCGCATCTGGCCACCGCCTTGGTCACTGGGGCTCCTGGCCGGGGCCTCTGAGTTGCTGCGGCCACCTCCCTAATGGGGTGGGGGGGTGGGGCTCTGAGCCCACCTTCATGGCCACAGCCTCTCATCCTGCCGAGGGGCTCATCAGGGACCCCAGGTGAAAGCGCTTTTCGGTTCTGGGCCGGTTCCTCTGCGTTTCCACCCACTCACACCATGTCCCTTTTAATGACGTTCAAGGACAAGGAAGCAGTCTTGTGTTTTTTAATTTATTTTTTCTATCATGTGCTCACCCCCTCCCCGTGCGCGCACTGCACACTTGGCTTGGCGCTGCAGTTACTCGCCCACAGTGGGCAGGCCTCCGTGCTGGTTGCCTGACCAACGGGTTGAGTATCTCTGCTGTCTTTGCACTCTCTTGTGTCTTTGCAACCAGCTGGGGCCGCGGCAGAGTCGGGGGTGGGAGGGTGAAGGGGACAGGTTTGCAAAGGTTAGGCACCTGTTTTTGGGGAATTGGTGCTGTTTTTCTGGACTACCTGGAGCAGGTAAGGAAGGTGGTGCCAGGTGCATGTTGGAGAGCCTTGTGTGGCCCTCGCCCGCTCTGTACCTGGCAGGTGATAGGTGACATCCCCCTTTCTTTGGAACCAGAGTGGCAGGCTGGAGAGCCTGGTGTGGGGTGGGGGGTGTCTTGTGGGTGGGAGGGTGCCTCCGGAGCCGGGATGGGAACTGAGGAGGTGTGTGCAACCCAGGTGACAGGACTGGGGCCTGGAGAGTGAAAGAATGGCCTTGGAATGCAGGCAGCCTGGCCTTGGGGGGAGAGGAGGAGGTGGTTGCCAGGGATGTTAGCTCATTGGTGGCCCTGAACGGAATCCCAGGAATACTGGCCAGCGTTTATTGGACACTAATGTGCTGAGCATTGTGTGAAGCAGCTTCCAGGCATCATCTCCCCGAAGCCTCCGGATAGCCTCTGTAACCCCACTTCTCAGACCAGGAAGTTGAGGTCTGGAGAAGTTGCCCAGCTAAGGAAGTGGCAGACCCACCTGACCCACCCAGATTGGAGTCCTGAGATATCGCACGTGGAGGCTCACCTGTGTGGCTTTACCATGGGGCCGCGTCACTTGATTGGCCTGCTGATGCCCCCCTCAGAACCCCTTCAGGCCGGTCCTAGCCTATGGGGACTGCCCACCTACCCCCTTCCCACAGGCTCTGGCTGTCCCACCCTGACAGTCCTGGAAGGGGAAACCCCAGGGAGTTTTCCCCCAGCACCCCCCCCCCCCCCCCGGATGTTCTCAAGCCCTGTCCCGTTCTCCCAGCCCAGGCCTGGGCCGGCTCCTCCTTCCTCTTGGCGAGGCTCTGGAAATCCAGTGGGAGGCCATTGCTATGGCAACAGGACTAGGCCCTGGCTTTACCTCATCAAATTCCAAGCTGAAGCCAAAGCGATTGAGAAATTAAAGAAAAAAAAATGTGTTCCAGATGTTTACTTTTTTTATTCCTTATTTTTCCGTGTTTGGATGAGACAGCTCCAAGGAGGGGTGGGGGGAGAGCCGGGCAGGGATGTGGAAGGAGAATGGGGAGAGAGGGGGGAGAGGGAACCACTCCCAGCTGCTGGAGGGAGGGAGGGAGGCAGGGAGAGCGGGAAGGGGGAGGCATGCCGAGGGGCGGAGCCCCAGGTTGGGGAGGAGCGGGTTTTTCCCGTCTCCCTGGAGGTGATTCACGGAGAGGCTTCAGACTGCACTCTTCTTGCTCTGTCTGCAGTAGACTCCTTCCAAGGGGCTCCTGGCCCAAGCAGGGGGGCCGCCCTGGGAGCTGTAAGTGGGGGTGTCTCGGGGAGCTGGTAGGAGGAGGCAGCTCCCTAAAGCTCCAGGACTTTGGGGTTAGGAGAGCAGAGCTGGAGAGGATGTGGGAAGAGTTGAGGACACGCCTGCTGGGGACCTGGCCTGACCTCCCCAGCCCCCTCCTGAAGTTCCCTCTTCCTGTCCCACACTCCGCCTCTGTGGAAGTAGGAGACCCCTGGGCTAAGCCCGCTGCCCACACCCAGCTCTCTCCTGCTGTCTCTTCCCGAGCCTCCAGCCAGCGCCGCTCACGCGCTCTGCTTCCTATTTCTCAAGCAGGATCTGCCGCATGTGATGAAAGTGTCTACTCTCAGGGAAAGCACAGCCATGGCTTCCCCACTGCCCCGGGAGCCGGAGGAGGAGCTGCTGCCCGCTGGCTCCGAGCCAGGTACCCATGGGTGCAGGGTGGAGCCGGTGGCTGAGAGCAGGGTGGGAAGGGCGCAGGCTGCACCCCCATTCCATCCTGGGGGGTAGCTGAGTTGAAGTGTGTTGAGGTAGCTGCGAGGCAGGGCCGCAGTACTAGGAAGTGCGGGATAGGGTGGGAAGGCCCTCGGCTCGGCTCTAGCACCTCTAAGGGCAGACAGGACCCATGGGGATGATGTGGGTCCAGCTGTGTGTTTTGCAGGTGGGGGCAGGGACTGCGGCCGGGAGAGGGGACCCCTGAGACCCAGAGGGAGGCCTGGAGTGCACCCACCCAGGCTCCTGCCTCCATGTCTCTAGACTCTTAGCCAACTGAGCGGGTGATCGAGGGTTCCACTAGAAGGGCTGTGACCCGGAGTGATTGCGATGCTGTTTATCTGGCATTGGAATGCCTTATATAGAAGGAAGATTTCTGGTCTTGGTTTTGAGTTTTTTTCCCCCCGCTGTAGCAGATTTACTTTTGTTTGGCTTAGGTCAATAGTAAGTTTGCATTCCTTGGTCACACACCGGATGACAGTGGGGAGGTGGCCTGGGTGTGTGCTGGAGGCGGGGGTAGCTGGAAGGCAGGGTGAAGAAACAGAGTTGGGGTGAGTTTACTGTGGGGGATGCAGTGGGGAGAGGGCTCCATGGGAAGACAGTGGGCGACTGGTGTGGCGGGAGATATTTGTTTATTGGCTCATTCATTCATGTGTTTGATTAGAGCATGTGCTGGGTACAAAGTAGGGTGCAAGGGGAAGTGAGGTGCCAGCAGGGCCCTTACATAGCTTTAGTTTAAAAGGGGAACTGGTGAAATAACTTTGGGAGTTTGGAGAAGGGAGAAGATGT